GACCCCCCTAGTCCAAATCCATATATTGTGCAAGTTCCTCCTAGTCTAAATCCATATATTGTGCAAGACTCTCTGAGACTAAATGCATCTATTGTGTAAGACCCTCCTAGTCTAAATCTCTATATTATGCAAGACCCCCCCCCCAAGTCTAAATGCATCTATTGTGTAAGACCCTCCTAGTCTAAATCCATATACTGTGCAAGACCCTCCTAGTCTATATTGTGCGAGGTATGTATGGGGGTCTAAAAACTAACTCTGCGACGCGATTGTGCGACTCGCCGAATGTCGATTATTCCACTCTGCGACAGGATCGCAGTGTCATTCTGCAAAGAGCACGATTCCCATTGGTTGGTTGGTCGAAAAGCGTGAATCTTAATGGTCGATCGATGTAAGGGTACACAGCATGCCTTATAGAAATGTTCAGTTTTAAATGGTTATTTCGCCGACTGCTCGTGAACCGACGACATGCCGCACGGTTCGGTAATCAGAAAGTATTTAACATTGATTTATTAACATATGAAACATCCCCCGGAGGGGATGAAAGGGGTTATAAAACACATGCACGTTGGTGTTGGCTGCCTTATTACGGTGTAACATCAGGGAGCTGGTAACATTAACGCCATCTTGAAGTTGTAAGGCTTCGTCCGCAACTATGCTCATTAGCATAGGCGGCAGCTTTAAAGCGAGTAGAGCGTGAAGTACGTTTCACACGATGTTACTTTCTTTTTTTGTCATTAGCAAGTATAATTTGTTATGACTATATTCATCACTTTGAATTCCAAAATAAAGCGTGTAGCAGGTCAAACTGTTTTTAGGCAATCAATATATTTTTATTAAGAATATTAAGAGAGGAAAAACGTAAAGCTGTGTGAATGGATTGAAACTACTGCTGAAGATAGAAAACTAAAACGGCAGTGTCAACGGAAAATTAGATGGGTGCACGCTACTGCATAAACGGAAACGATGGCTTTGTTTATTTAGCCGATGTCGACGAGCAACAGATTTTCTGTACTCACTTCCTCGTCTGATCAGCGGCCCTCAACGGTCTCACGTATCGGTGTCGTCATCGGTTAAGTAGTTGAAACTCTTTCGCGTTGATGCGAATATTTCAGCCTAATCGTCCCCTTCGAACAACTCACGAGGTTGGTCATTATATAACCTAGACGTGCTTGCAATCTGTTGCGATTCCGATGAAAAACTCTTGAAAAATAAATATAAATTGCGTAAACAAGGGGTGAACGCGAGAGTCCTGTAATTTTGCATCGGAATTACAACAGGCTGCAGGCAAGTCTAAATTAGTAAATATGACCCTGAGTTGCAGATTTTTCTTTGCCTCGTCTGTCATTGGCGTCTTTGCTTTCTTTTTTCATCGTCATTGCGTTAGTAAGAATGGTGTTATTAAAATAGAATATAGAAAATAAAACGAAGTCTTGACTGATAATAATGCTGACAATGGACGTTAGATTAATATGCATTGTTTGCGACAGGAAGCTTGTCACCCGTTCTATCAAAATCGTCAACAACAGAGTATAACCGGTAGTATACATATACATGTTATAAACATTATGCAAATATTAACGAAACTGTAGTAGTGTTAGCGTTTGAGCACTGGTCTTTCCGAAATTTCGAAAAGCTGGGATGATGAATCAAGGTACAAAGTAACCGTTTTATCAATTATTGAAAAATCAAGAAGAAAAAAAAAAAAGAAAATTTCCCTTCCCACTACATTAAGATCAATATGGACCACCGATATTTGGTGTTCATTTAAAAAAAATAATCCATAATTTTCAGTAATACTGACTTCGAAAATTATGATAAAAAAATAATTCCATTCATACCACAAACCAACGCCGTTTTTGTTTACTTTTCACAACTGTTACAAAGTATTTCATTTCTGGTTAAAATACCAGCTAATCTATCGTAGACCACAAGTTTGGAGTCCGTTTATGATCTAAACGAAGGCAGACGATTGCAAACAACTGCTGTCACGGCAAAACGTTGCACATCGTGAATGATTTTTTTTCACTGCTTGCAAATTATTTTCCTTGATGCACTCAACAAAGTCAAAGCAGACGTACGACATTCGTTGCAGAACGCGTGAAAAGTACTTCGCGTTCCACTCGCTTTGATGCTGCCACCTATGCTAATGAGCATAGTCGTCAGGACGAAGCCTTAAAGGCCCAATTCACTTGCCCCGGGCAAGTGTGAATTGGAGGTGTGGCTATTCTAATGCATGGTATTAAACACTTGCATAGCCTATGACGCATCCTGTTCCAGCGGTCCAACATCACGTGACTTTGATTGACAATAGTAATTATTCAAGATTAGTCGCGCATCCCTTTCCCCGGTTCATGTTTTTTACTTTTATCCGCCAAAATCTCAGCTCGAACACTATTTATTGTCATAAATACTACACACAGTCACTGCTGTGATATTCATAGTCACATGCATCCACTTTGGCACGACATAATAGACATGTAAGTTCGAGAAAACGCGTTTTTACTGGAGCTTGGCTGGAGCTGTTTACTACAGCGTAACAAGCAAGGAAATAATCCCTATTGTTTAGGAGCGTATTTATAGTATACCTGGGCCTTTAACTCCAAGATGGCGATAACATTACACCGTAAATAGGCAGTCAAAACCAACGTGCATGTTACACTATTTAATTTTTCTAGCCAGCGATGTGATGTGTCTAAAAACCGTAAACCATGTGTCATTTGTTTGGTCCCACAATTTGTCTTCCATGTGCTTGCCGATCATCCAACAGTGCGGCATATCGCCGGTACATAGTGTTTACACACTTTTTTTTTTACCGTACCATTTTTACCATTTAAAACTTATTTTTTTATAAGGCATGCGGTGAAACATCGACCATTGGGATTTGCGCTGTTCGACCAACCAACCAACCAATGGGAATTGTGCTCTTCGCAGAGTGACACTGCGATTCTGTCGACATTCGGCGAGTCGCACAATCGCGTCGCAGAGTCAGTTTTTAGACCCCCATACATACATGATTGTGCAAGACCCTCCTAGTCTAAATCCATATATACTGTGCAACACCCTTCTAGTCTAAATCAATCGTGTAAGACCCTCTTAGTCTAAATCCATATATTGTGCACAACCCTCCTAGTCTAAATTCATCTATTGTGCAAGACCCTCTTAGTCTAAATCCATATATTGTGCACGACCCTCCTAGTCTAAATCCATCTATTGTGCAAGACCCTCTTCGTCTAAATCCATATATTGTGCAAGACCCTTCTAGTCTAAATTCATATAATGTGCAAGACCCTCCTAGTCTAAATCCATATATTGTGCAAGACCCTCCTAGCCTAAATCAATTGTGCAAGATCCTCCTAGTCTAAATCCATCTATTGTGCAAGACCCTCCTAATCTAAATCCATATAGTGTGCAAGACCCTCCTAGTCTAAATCCATATATTGTGCAAAACCCTTCTTGTCTAAATCAATTGTGCAAGACCCTCCTAGTCCAAATCCATATATTGTGCAAGACCCTTCTAGTCTAAATCAATCGTGCAAGACCCTCCTAATCTAAATCCATATAGTGTGCAAGACCCTCCTAGTCTAAATCCATATATTGTGCAAGAACCTCCTAGCCTAAATCAATTGTGCAAGACCCTCGTAGTCTAAATCCATTTATTGTGCAAAACCCTTCTAGTTTAAATCAATCTACTGTGCAAGACCCTCCTAGTCTAAATCCATATACTGTGCAAGACCCTTCTAGTCTAAATCCATATATTGTGCAAGACCCTCCTAGTCTAAATCCATCTCTTGTGCAGGACCTTCCTAGTCTAAATCCATCTATTCAGGCACACACTTCTTCTAAACTGGTTCTAGCTTGTAACCAGTACATCTTAATCTTGCATTCCAGTTTTTGAATTGGGTTACAGAAATAAACATATCATAACTATCACAACCTTGAAATTGAGAACCAAGATTAACCCTTATCTTGTAAACCCCTTTTACAATGACTTGATCAAATACAGTTATATAACAAATGAATAAATAGATAATTAACTAACAATGCAAAAGTGGAAAGAAAAATATCACCATAATTACATAATATTCATGTTCTTCAAATGATACTACAAATACTGTATTAATCTCAATGTCCCTTATAGAATAACATGAATCGTGTATTAGTAACTAGCAAATAATATTAAAGCAACATATCTAAGCACAATTTGGCAAGAACAATACTACCCAATGTTTTCCTCAATTAAATCTCAATCTCCATTATAAAATAACACGAATTGTATAACAGTTTCTAAAAAGTAAATCTACAGCAACATATCTAAGCAAACATTTGGCAAGAAAATATACAAATACTACATATACTTCATTAATCTAAGATTTGAAAAAAAGCCAGGAAACACTGCACTTTTGTTATTTATATTCATAACATATTAGTTGACTACAGTGACAGATCTTAGAAAGCATATTACTAACATCGTGTTGTCTTATCTGCAGTATAAATGTTTTCATTCTGTGCACTTATTGCTAGGTCTGCAAATAAAAATGTTTTTCATTTCACCAAAACTGAACTTGGTTGACGTTTCATAGCAATTGATAAGACTTCCAAATTTGAAGATGATCAGATAAAAATCGTATGAGTTATTTTAAACACAAGAAAACAATTTTAAGTGAAATTTAAAGAATATCTCGAGAAATATACATAGAACATGTATCATAATCAATCTTGGCCAATATCCCAAACTGGTTAGCATCCAAATTTTAAAGCTTTTTGATAAAAACAAGGTACAAGGTTAAGTCAACTAAATCAACAACGAGAGATATTTTCCTCTTATATACCTTTCCGTTCATCTAAGATGATAAGGACGAGGTAAAAACCTAATGGCATTCATGTGTCATATCATGTGAACACACAAGCATCATTTGCACTGAAATACAACTGTGAATGGCTTCATTTATCTACCAATTATATGCTATTGTATGACCTCAGGTCACAAAAGCTAATATATACTAAATGAATATCACACGAAAAACTTGTCCATCAGTAAAAGTTTCTTCTAACTTCCCTATTCTATAACGTTGTTCAACTGAATGCACGATGTGGTGTTTGTTCATGGTCAATTTGGTTGTAAAACGCTTGTCACATACGTCACACTGGTATGGTTGCTTATGTACTTTCATGTGTTTTTTCAGGGTGATTTTCAGGGTAAAACGCTGATCACATTTTCCACACTTGTGTGGTTCCTTATGGACTTGCCTGTGTTTTTGCAGGTGGCGTTTCTGGGTAAATCGCTGATCACATTCTTTACACTGGTGTGGTGGCTTAGAAGCATGCACTTTCATGTGTCTGTGCAGTTTCCTTTTCTGTGTAAAACTCTGGTCACATTTTGTGCACTGGTATGGTTGCTTAGGTGTACCAGTGTGCACTTTCATGTGTCTTTTCAGTTGGCGTTTCTGGGTAAATCGTTGATGACATTCTTTACACTGGTGTGGTTGTGTACAAGAAAGCACTCTCACATGTGACTCCAGGCTGTCACCTTCTTTATACTGTGTTTGTTGTTCACCAGTACTGTGTTTGTTTTTCATGTGTGATTTCAGGAAATATTTCTGAGTAAAATGCTTGTCACACTCTTTACACTGGTAGCATTGTTGCTCACCAGTATGCTTTTTCATGTGTAATTTCAAAGTTTCTGGTCGAGTAAAGCACTTGTGACATTCTTTACACTGGTATGATGGCTTACGACCAGTATGCACGCTCATGTGTCTTATCATGCATGTTTTTTGTATAAAACGTTGCTTACATTCTGTACACTGGTATGGTCGCTCTCCAGTATGCACTCTCATATGTATTGTCACATGGGTTTTCTGGGAAAAACGCTTGTCACATACTTTACACTGGTATGGTTGCTCACCAGTATGCACTCTCATGTGTGATTTCAGGGTGTTCCTGATGGAAAAACGCTGGTTGCACTCTTTACACTGGTATGGTTTCTCGCCAGTATGCACTCTCATGTGTACTTTCAACCCACTTGAATGGGCAAAACGCTGGTTACATTCTTTACATTGGTATGGTCGCTCACCAGTATGCACCCTCATGTGTGATATCAGACAGCCTACTTGGGAAAAACGCTTGTTACATTCTTTACACTGGTATGGCTGCTCACCAGTGTGCAATCTCATATGTATTTTTAAGCCACCTGCCCAAGTAAATCGGCGGTTACATTCTTTACACTGGTATGGTTTTTCACCAGTATGCACTCTTCTGTGTCTTATTAAGCCGCTTACATAGCGAAAACGACGGTTACATTCTTTACACTGGTATGGATGCTCACCAGTATGTAATCTCATGTGTGTTTTTAGGCTGCATTTTTCAGTAAAACGCTTTTCACATTCATTACATTTGTATGGTTTCTCACCAGTGTGCATTCTCATGTGTGTTTTCAGCAGGTATTGTCGGGGAAATTTTTTTTCACAATCGTTACATTGGAATGGTAGCTTATCAGCATGCACTCTCATGTGTGTTTTCAGGAGGCTTTTCTTGGTAAAATGCTGATCACATTCGTTACATTGGTATAGTTGCTCATCAGCATGCACTTTCATGTGTGTTTTCAGGTGCCTTTCCCGGGCGAAACACTGGTTACATTCTTTGCACTGGTATGGTCGCTCATCAGTATGCACTCTCATATGTTCTTTCAGGTGGATGTTCTGGGTGAAACGCTTGTTACATTCTTTACATTGGTATGGTTTCTCACCCGTGTGCTGTCTCATGTGCACTTTTAAAACACTTGCCTGGGAAAAAGAGTTGTTACATTCTTTACACTGGTATGGTCGCTCATCAGTATGCACTCTCATATGTTGTATCAGGTGGGTTTTCTGGGAGAAACGCTTATCACATTCTTTACACTGGAATGGCTTTTCACCAGTATGTACTCTAATGTGCGTTTTAAGATTGTATTTCTGGGTGAAATACTTGTTGCATACATTACACTTGAATGGCTTCTTAGCATTATGAATTTTCACGTGTCTTTTCAGTTGGCTTGATAGGGCAAAACATTTGACACATTTGGTACACCTATACGATTGCCGACCATTATGATCAGTATACATTTTCACATGTCTTTTCAGGTGACTTCGCTGGGCAAATTGCTTGTCACATTCTTTACACTTGTAAGGTTTCTGAGCAGTATGCACTTTCGTTTCGCCTTTCAAGTCACTTGCCTGGCCAGTATGCACTCTCACATGTCCTCTCGGGTTGCCTGACTGGCCAGTATGCACTCTCACATGTCCTCTCGGGTTGCCTGACTGGCCAGTATGCACTTTCCTTCTCAGATCGCTTGACTGGACAGAATGCACCCCGCTGTGTCTTTTCAGGTCGCCTGACTTGGCAAAATTCTTGTCACATTTGTTACATCGATATGGTTGCTGACCAGTATGCACCTTTACGTGTTTTTTCAGGTCACCTACCTCAGCGAATTTCTCGTCACATTTTTTACACTGGTACATCTGCCGATGAGTACTCACTGGTTTATCACACACTCCACGAAGGTTTAGTTGATTGTTAGACATGCTGCTGGATTCAAATTATTCTATCACGGTCTGTAATAACTTGCTCTCAGTGAGAAAGAAGCGCCGACACTCAAAAAACGGCTGCCATTTTCAATGATGTCACGTTTGAGGAGGAACCCTACATTACTTACCACAGGTGGCGCCCTTGGCACTGATTTATTAGTCTCAACAAGGTACGAGTTCCATCAGGCCTGAGTTCCATGGTCCCTATAGGTGTATGTGACGTCATTCGTTTGCCAACAAACGTGCGAATGCTGATAACAAATGTCACTCATTAAGGTGTGGGCCGTTAGAAATACTGGAAAAGAAAAGAAACTATGCCAATATTTTTTTCTTTCACTTCACTTCACTTCACTTCACTTCACTTTTTTTTCTTTTTCACTGGTGATAATTTGTTTTCATTTCCTGTGTGTGTGTAATATTTGTCCTTATCTCCCTAATCTGCAATGGCTCGCGATCTGACTTGACATCGTTGCCATGGAGTTGGATCATAGCGACAATGTGTATAACAGCGACACATGTTATAAACCAGTTTAGTAGATTCAGGGTTATTAAACGAGGGGACAAAGGCCAAGGGCATTTTCTGGTTTATCACATGGCGTGATTGGTTTAAACCCGAAATATTTGCAACATTTTGCAAAAAATATAACCATCTGTTGCAAGTATTTCTTTCACTCGTCGTTTCCGTCTGGTCGTTAACATGGTCGGGTCTATATTTAAAATCAAAAACAAATAAGTTGCTAAATCAAAAGATAGATCACAGTCTCTATCATTGATATGATATTTACTTCTAAATGCTTTGTTTTTATATGTATGTACGCTCGGTACAACAAAGGCATTTCCTTCATCTTTATAAATATTTATAATTTTTACAATTCGATCTGAAACGAGTGGTTTCTATTGGCACTTTCATATGTTTTTTCAGGTGGTTTTTCTGGGTAACAATGTTAAAAATGTGATTTTGTCCTTTGGTCCTAGCGCTTTTAATATTCAATGAGCACATATTCTTATCACACAAGCAAGCAAACATGCACGCCAAACCTCGTCGTCGGATTTGCACGATTTATCTAAAGCCGGTCTTCCACGGCTATCGTTACGATCAGGCAACGGTCGAATAAATGAACCTTGACCCACGAGAGAAACCTATCCTGAAATAGTGTAAACGTGGTGAATACAAGATGAGCATAAACACGGGCAAAACATGTACAAAAAAGATAATATAAAATACATGATTGAAACTACTTATAAATATTGAGTACTTATGTGATTATTACAATGTTGACAATTTTTGTATTCTGTTAGCGATAACTATGGCGGGGGTATTTTTGTGTGACCTTGGGGTCGCATGTCGGTATTGATTTGGTGTTGAGAACAATACAATGTCAAACAGTTGATAGTGTTTGAGATATGAAATATGGCGTCACGGTTTAAGGTCGATATTCCGAGGGTTTGTTAGTTCGATGGTTCATTAGAGGTTTCATTAGTCTGAGGGTTCATTAGTTCGATGGTTCATTAGTCCGAGGATTGAATAATTAAATATTTAATGTTAATTAATTTTCTAACTAACTTCTCAAATGACGTAATACAGTATCACGTAATGTGGTTATCATTCCACCCAGACTAGCAAAAAGCAAACCACAATGGCGAAAAAATGTATTTATAACTGCCGTTTAAATTCTGTGGACCCCCTAGTTAGCATGTATTGTGTGGACCCCCTAGTTAGCATGTTTTGTGTGGACCCCCTAGTTAGCATGTATTGTGTGGACCCCCTAGTTAGCATGTATTGTGTGGACCCCCTAGTTAGCATGTATTGTGTGGACCCCCTAGTTAGCATGTATTGTGAACATCAGAACATCGTTATAGTCTACATACAGTATCCGACTTTTACGCGCTGTGCAATGTTACGATACAACCTTTAACAACGTTGTAGCATTTCGGAATATTTTAAGATTAACGACGAACATCTGTAATATTCTAAGAATTTAACACCAAGCATGTGCAGCTGAATACAGAATTAAAGCACTTATAATTTTAATACTGTTGTGAGCTATAGGGTAAAATACTAACGAAGTTTATTTTTCACCCAAAATGCATAGGTTTTGAAAGCAGCACAAAATTCAGATATCTTGATACCAATACCTGATTCTTTTTAACTGATATTATTAACAGCAGTCTTAAACTTGAATCTATCAAGTTACATGTATGTAATTTATTTAACAAGATACATGTATTCTGTTATTTACAAGACTTTGTTTTGTGTTCAAGTTTTATGCAGCTCCTATTTTTGGTAGATTAGTGAGCCTCTGTTATGAAAGTGCACAACCAATAAATAAACATAAAACTATAGATAGGTTTTATATTCCGCAACTTCTAGTAAGATATTATACTACTAAATTGGAATAACTTACAAAAACAAAATTACTCTCCTTTCCATTTTTTTAATTTGACTACACATAAAAGTTAATGCAATATATATAATTTTTATCAGCAGTTTTTTGAATGTCAGGAGTAATGTATACTTGTTTTAGGAATATCCTTGGTAGAGAAGGTGCTGCCGAACAACAATGGGGCCAAAGGTATGTATGACTTCCTGAGTAGAGGAATAATTCTTTAAATAAATCTTAGTGAAATTTTACTCCTGGTGCCAAAGTACTGGAGCCAGAACATGATCTAGTAGGGCCCATTTAGGCAAAAGTGTTGGCCTTCCTATAGATATTATGTATAATATTATGAGGCCCTGAAAATGATCCTCTTTGTTTCCAAAGGCAAATTGATCTACCTCTACCATTCATCGTGATAGTGTCTGACGACTATCTGGTCTGTCATAAACTGAGCCTTACATTCCTTTTTAGAATATATATAATATAAAGGGCATAAACTTGGTGATTCAAACATTGTGCTAGGCTCTCTGACCAGATTAAAGACTCAACTGGAAAAGTGGAGATAGCAGCTTGCTCTTGATTATACTTCTGTTTTTTTAGGATCGAAATGAAGACCTTTGATCTTTCCTCAAAGATGAATTCATGGCCAATTGACAAGACCTGGAGTTCGAGACAAGGGCTAACACAATTACAGCTAAACCATTCTGATATTAGGTCGTTTAAACATTCATTTGTTTGTATGGGGTTCTTTAAAGTACAAGAGATAAAGACCAAGGCAATGTTTCTGGAAACCATTGTCTAAGCTGCCTGCTTATAATATGACTTCAACATAGTGTTGAGATTCTGGACAAGTGTCAAATCTTTCACCATTTAAACCCGAAATGTACATATGCTTGAGTTCCAGGTGTTCTGTTCACTTTGTGCAAGTGAAATAAATAGAGTGGATGATGATTCGTCGATAGATACCAATCTATGTTTTACATCTAGTGACTTTGATATAATCCATTAGCCAAGTTACAGAGCTTGTCCACTTCACATTCAGTGACCGAGAGAGAAAATCCTTTTACCTGGCTGATATGGTGGACCATCACCACTTGTAACATTGGTAGCAGCCCATGGGCTGATTAGGTGGTTCGATGTTGGTTGGGACAAGACCCATTCTGTCAGTTGAAAACGCCTTTGGCTATATAGCATATTTGCTGCTACTGTGTTCCATTCACCATTTGGGTGGCATGCCTCCAGCCTGATGTTGTTGGAGTGACAGAAAAGTAGTATTTTCACTGCAAAATTATTCAACATCCGAAACTGGTACTGCTCTTGTTGAGGTAATGTACAACTGTAATGTTGTTGAAACGTTGCAGCACCATTTACACTTGATTGAGATTCCATATGCTGACCCAGTCATGGAAATAGTGATCAGGCCAAACAAGAAGGCAACAAAGGCATATCTTTGGCCCTAGACAATGAACTTTAGTAGGTGGCAGTTGTCATATAGTATATTCACAAGTTCAAGTAAAGATCCTGTACATAATCTTGCGTTCCGCGAAGGTCACCTAGAGTTACCATTGTAAAACGGCCTTTGATAATGTAAGGGTTGAGTCACAAAAAATGTAGTACCTCTTTATTCAATTATGCCCCTGCTGGCCATGTTATTACTGAGGATTTGAACATTATTCCATATGAAAGACAATATCAAGTGGACCAAAGTTCAGAAGACCTCAATATATCAATTGGAGTCACAATTTCATAATCATTATGGACTCATTTGAAAAATATGCCAGACAGTGAGATGAACGAGAGGAGAAGCTGGATACATTGTTGTAGTGGGTGAAGACTGTCAGAAGTGTATGTTATTCAATTCATAATCATGCATCAACAGAAGACAAAATTATGTATTTAAAAATCGTCTGTATGATCTTCATGATAAATATGCTACTAACAATATAGCGTTTGTTATATATAACCACTTGCATATGGCTCAGAAAGATACATAGTGGATTCCACATGTGGAAATCCAAGCAACAATACCCAACTATAATCCAAACAATCAATGACAAAAGGCAATATTTACAAATCCGAGAACACACAGGCAAAACAAACAACACACTGTCAAATCGGTGAGAGAGATACATGGACCTCAAGGCACAAGCCAAGAGATGATGTCAGGTGTTTCGAAAAGAGTGAGCACATCCTGCTCCACATGTGGCACCCGCCATATATCTCTCTGAGTTACAATCGTGAATTTTAGGTCACCCCGTGCAAGACAACTGACATCCAGCGCTTCTATTACCATCTGTTTCATGAAGGACATGCTCACACCTGACGTCACTTCAAGTATATCGCCGATTGTCTCCTGATATTCATTGCAATCCATCACAGAAATTACCTAGTTTAAACTTGGTGACATCTCTTTTCGCACTCTTTGATGAACACACGATCTGGTGACCACATGGTCTGATGACCACCTCTCTAACTATAATTTCTCTCACTTTACTACTGTTTTTGTTTAATGTGAAAGCTGCAAATAGATTTTACCAGCTCCGCTGTGATTCTCGTCCAAATAATTGTGCATATCCACTCAGAAGGCATGTTTCAAACACAATATGCTAGTATATTCTGAAGGTAAAACACTCTCTGATTGGTTGAGTAATTTATTTAGGAGAGATTGTGCAAACAACAATGGAGTAAGTCTGATATATGTTAGCTTGTAATCAGCAAAAGATGGGATGACACAAAACAGTTGCACAATACATCTTTACTGCAATGGGATGATGAACAGAAATAAATCTACATTGATGTATATCTTGATGTACGACCAGGAGAGATTGGGTTCTTATCTGCACATTAAACTTAACATCTCAATCAAATTTGAGAAAGTTAGATATCTCATAAAACTGTTTTCCTAAAGACACTGTTGTTCCAGTACTTCTAGGTCAAACACTGACTGACATTTCCGACACAGAATTTATATAATTTAATATGCAACATCAAAGTATGACACAGAAATCACCATGGCGGAACAACCACTATTTGCATACATGTACTTTGACTGTAAAACACAAAAAGTCAATTCAAAGCTACTAACAAGATTGTGCCTGATTGGCTACCCAACCCTGACAGTCAGACAAATCAGAGAGCAGCTTCTTTGTTGACAGTTTGTTTTTCAACGTATAAAATTTCGCCTTGTGTACATGTTTTGACTGCACTGGAAATTATCCCTCGTGGTCATTAGTACAGTGTGAAAGAACAGGATTGTGTAATCCTAAGACTAGGGCTGGAAGAAATTTGAAACACCGACAATTTGACTGACTCAAAATTTAGGACAGATGAGCTGACTGGTGTATGTACAATGACCGTCATTTTCACCGGGACTCTCATGGTATTTGCCAGGAAGAGCCAGTGGTTCATGAAGAAGTACAATTGACACACAGATTGATATGAAATAATTGATGTAATTTTATGTAGAAAATAAACTTGGTACAAGCATGCAAAGAAATTTATGTAGTTTTTCTTAGAATTTGATAAATCATGAAGAAATTGTGAAAGCATTGTAACATAAAAGAAGCTGATACTAAATCTTCGTATAATCTTGAAAGTTTTAGAGACGACGAGATGTAAAGCTTCTGAAACAAAAAAGAAAACATAGTTATTATGCACACTAAGCAATTCACAAAAAAAACAAAAACATAACATAACCTTATCATCATAAAAAAAAACTTTAAAGAGCGATGATTGTCGTACCTTGCATGCGTGAGATATGGAACTAATATGATAGATGGTGACTGTTGCACAGACCAATGAGACGTTACTAAGGTTTAACTATGTAATTTGATTTGGTGATTGGAAGGTAACGAAGAAGTAGCTGGCAGTAATTAGTGCACGTTGCGTCCAGGTCAAAACACGCACTTGTGAGTTTCATTAAAAGAGCGCATTGAATTGTGGGAAAATCGAAGTTTATCATCACAAATGTCGCACATGCGTGGCATGATGACCGCCTGTTACTGACAACCTTATGACCATGTTGTGTTTACTATGGTCCCAAGCAACGCTGCATACATGTAAAATACATTGTTTGTTTAAAATTCAAATAAAGGGTTACAGAGCATTCACCCAAACTTTATAAGCACAATCGTCACAATGTGTTATGTTCGACATGGGTCTCAGATAACGTATATAATGCATGTAGAATACATTGTTTGTTTACATGAAATTCAGAAATGCGCAGCACAACGAACACCACCTTGAAGGTGATGTCAGGAATAAAACAACAATGCAAAGACTTACGCCTGTTGCTGCTGTTGTCCCCCAAAAGCTGGACTTCCTCCAAATGCACCAGATCCTGCAATGAAAGAACCAAAACTTTATATCCCATAATTATCCCTGCACTAATTTTGGAGCAGACATTTTCATATACTTTTTTTATAATGCTTTTAGTAGTCTAAAACAGGGAGGTATGTTTTGTGTTGTATCCATCCCTCAAAGTTTGTATAAAGGCAATACATATTTTTTGCATAACTTTGTAATTTTAGTTCCAAAAGCACCAAAAAACTACATTTCAACAACAGTATCTCACTCATACCCAGTCCAATTTCATTTAAATTTGGTATTAACATTACACATGGTGGTATACTGAGCCACATCATTTTGTTTAGTGATTTGATTCACTCGCAGCCACCTTTCTATTCTCATGTACTTTTGTTACACTCTTTTGACTAATTTTGTTTGAATTCCAACAAAGGTAGGACATGATGGGTTACACATGCATACTAATTGGTTTAAAAGTTTCATTGAATTTCCTTGTCCTCATTTGTGTCCTCAAATGGTGACAGATGTTGGCAATCCTGGATATGCAAAAACAGTATTGCTATATATGGTAACAAGGAGAGTTGGCCATCTTGGATATGCAAATACTGTATTACTATATATGGTAACAAGAAGAGTTGGACATCTTGGATATACAAATACAGTTTTACCATATATGGTAACAAGGAGAGTTGGACATCTTGGATATGCAAATACAGTATTACTATATATGGTAACAAGGAGAGTTTGCCACCTTGGATATGCAAATACAGTGTTGCTATATATGGTAACAAGAAAAATTGGTGATCTTGGATAGGAAAAAATAGTATTGCTATATATGGTATTATATAAGTCAATATGCAAATACAGTATTACTATATATGGTAACAAGGAGAGTTGGCCATCTTGAATATGCAAATACAGTATTGCTATATATGATAACAAGGATGGTTTGCCATCTTGGATATGCAAATACAGTGTTGCTATATATGATAATAACAAGGATGGTTTGCCATCTTTGATCAGATCAAAAAAACAAAATGTTCAGTCATTTCTGAACATGTACAGGTAAAAAAAATGAATTTATTCTTCTATTTTCACCATCGGAAAGGACAAAAATTAAACAAATGTGAAACAATATTACGACATCACTGGTCCAGTCACAAATTATAGATAGTGATTATAAAAGATTTGTTAAACTATACCTGAAAAACCTGGACTAGCAAAGCTCCCAAAGCCAGATGCCTGGGCACCTTGGGATCCAAATGTTGGTGTATTCGGAGACACTGCAGCGATGCTACCGAATGTAGGTGATGTATTCTGAGATTGAGCTAAGGCACCAAACGTTGGGGAATTATCACTGGCCAAACTGTTGGAAAAACGGAAAATATAAAACAGACATGAACATAGTGTCTGTCTGCATTAAAATCAGCAAAAGAAGAAAATTGGATCAACAGGAGAATTTTTGCACAAGTTTCAGAGTTCTTTATGTCAGAAGCCCAGGCAGAAAAGCAACTAACTAATCTATTTCTGGTCCTTGAATTTGTCAATATTTTATTGTCAAGTTCTCTTTGTGCTCGTCATATTAAAGCGGAGGGGTTGTTGCAAACATGTCCTTGAAACTTGAGTTCCAAGTGGTGTATACAACAGATTGTTTATTTACATCAAAACACGTGTTTCGTGTCATAGTAATATGGCCAAAATAAAAACAGCCGTTATTTAGCCATCTTTGATCTGATTATGAAACACACTGATATGTATGATGTATGTGCCAAATACAAATGAAAATGGTACATTAATTGTGGAAATATAGTAGTAAGGCCAAAAAGTCAGATGGCTGTCAATCGGCCATCCTTGACCAGATTTTGAAACAAATTGTCATGGACATGCATTCTAACATGTATAAAGTACATGTATGTGCCAAATTTGAATGAAAACTGACAGAGCACGTCCAAGATACCGCATAAAAAAACAAAAACAAGATGCCTGCCAGTCGACCATCTTTGATCCAATTGCGAAATAAATGTATCATGGACATGTAT